ACCTTGTCTGGGTTCTGCACCTTCCCGAGAATCACGACCTGGCGCATCGCCGACGTGGGGTCGTACTCGGCGCGGAGACGTCGCCAGGCTTCTACCCCTTGGTGCTGCCCGGCGTTCCTGACGACCTTGTTGGCGCTGTGAGTCGAGAGCGATACGAGGTACGTGCATAGGTTTGCCTCCTTGTCCTCTAAGTCCACGGTGTTCTCGCCGAAGGCGTCCATGAAGTTCGCGCTGTCCAAGTCCCCGTCGTTCGTCACTTTTCACCGTTGGGAGGCCGCCCATTTTAGGGCAGGAGTGAGGTCCGGGCCGAACTTCGCCGACATGAAGCACACGACCTTGTGCGCCCACTCCTGGAGCTCGATCTCCTCCTTCCCAAAACGTTTTCCTGGCTGCCCTACCCCCCTCGCGTCGATGATCTCGTTCCCGCCGCGGCTCGCGACGCGCAGGGCCAAGTCTAAGGTCGCCCTCCTGTCGTTGTTGGTCTGCTCCTCCAGGCGCCTCGCCTCCGCGATCTGGACGACTGCGGCCTGCGTCTCGCGGCTGGCCTCGGCGAGCTGCGTCGCGAGTTGCTGCATCTCCTGCCGATGCGCCGCCGCCGTCTGCGCCTGTTGCTGCTGGATCGCGGCGATCTGCTGAGCTAGCTGCTCCATGGCCTACCGCCAAGTTGACGAGTCCAACTCGTAGCAACTGGCCACGCCGCTCACGCTTGTTGAGCGACTTCTTACTACGATGACCTCGCTTCGTGGGCATGCACCCGCGTGCCCTGCCCTGCACTGCCTCCCGCAGCGCCGGTGATGCCGCCGACGGACGCGGAGCTGCCCGCAGTTCAGTGCGGAGCTACCCGCTGCCGAGTCCCGTAATGGCTCGCGCGCTCGAGCCCGTGGATCGTCACAGCAGCCTCACACTACCATGATAAAATGTTTTGCTAAACCATAGCTTGGGCTCACCAGTCCGTGAGCCACCATGTCTACGTACAGTGCGACACTAGCTATTAACAAAACTGATCCCCCCTGGCTCGAAAAAACCGTCTCAACAAAGTTGCCCCCCCATGCTCCAAGAGACTGTGCGGGGTGACCCAAATTTGATCACAGCATCGCAGAACATATCAGAACTCGACAATCGAGCATAGCGTCGACGAACACGGCATTACAACGCATGGCACAACATAACATGTCATTCATAACACGATCCCAGCATACCATGACATAACATAACATAGAAATGCCATGACAAGATATAGCACACCGTCAAATCACATAACATACCAATACAGACCATGACATGTCATACTAATATTTGAATTCACCCACCATCACATACTTGAGCATATTACAACATATGTTGGCACACCTTGACACAATAATGGCATAACCTGATCGAACTCAGCAATGCCATGACAACATGTAGGATAACAGCACATCATATACCACACCAAAATATACCATGGCATAACAGAAGACGGCATAACACTACATCGCATAAAACAATATCCCTGTACACTACAATACACACATTGACAAAACATCTAAAAAAACATGACACAGCGTTACAAAACGTATCATAACACGACTGCAAAACGTAGCGGTACATACTAGCATAGCAGATCAAACGATAGTGTAAAGAGCCGAACCGCCAACACACATAACATCACATGACATTCCGGAACAAAACATGGCATAACATAAGACGGCATAACACAACATGTCATACCATAGCTGAGCATAGCGTAACATCCGGACATAACATATCGCACCATGGCACAGCAAGCCAGAACAGCCCATAACACGACCGCAGAGCATAGCGACGACGAACACGACAGAACAGAGCTTGACGCAACAAGAAATGACATAATAGAATATGATTATGACAGAGCATGACAAAACAGAACATAGCAATGCCATTACACAGTGGAGCATAACATAACATCACATCACATTCCATAACAAAACATGACATACCAGAAATCCGCCGACCCCTTGGGGTCACGGCGTGTGAGATGTTTCCCCCTCCCCAAACCTCTCCCCCAGAAGCCCGGTCCGGCCGGTTTGGAGGGGCGGAGGGGGCGGTCGGCCCAAGACGCCCAGGATGGCCCCAAGACGGCCCCAGAAGCCTCCCAGACGGCCCAGAGCCTCCAAGAGCATTCCCAAGAAGGGCCCCAGAGGCCAAAATCGTCGAATTCCAATTGGAAAAACGTACATTTTCATCATACACGACTTTTCGGCCTTCACGGCGTTGAAGACGGCCCCAGAGTCCCCCAAGACCGCCCCAAAACGGCACAGGAGGCTCCCAAGAGGCGCTCGAAACGGCCCAAGACGGCGCCAAGACGGCCCAAGAGGCTCCCAAGACGGCCCAAGAGTGCCCCAAGACGGCACAAAGAGAGGCCCAACAGGGGGAGCCTGAACCAACAATCCGAACCTTCTGCCCAAAACGGCCCAAAGGGGCCCAAGAGGCGCCCAGCAGGGCCCATGGCCCCCAAGAGGCCCCCCAAGAGGCCCCAAGAAGCCCCCAAGAAGCCCCCCAAGAGGCCCCAAGAAGCCCCCAAGAAGCACAAAAGAAGCCCCAAATACCACTTGAGGCATATAACTTTTAACCCGCAACCCAGGCACCAAGGATCTCAGGCCGACAACCAAAGCACGGTGGCGGGATAGGCCGAAGGCCACTAAACATATATATATATATATATATATATAGAGAGAGAGAGAGAGAGAGAGATAGAGAAAGAGAGAGAGAGAGAGATGCCGCGGGCATCTACCTCGATCGAGAAGAAGAAAAGGCGAAGGACGAGGAAGAGGAAGAGAACGAGGAAGAGGAACAAAAAGAAAGAAGATTTCGTCGTCGCCGCCGACGTCTCACAGATTTGCGTGGTCTTTCGACCACCCGAAGCATCTCCTCGAATTCAGCCCCCAAGAAGTGTTTTCGGTGCTGGGGACCACCGCCGAAAGTCCGGGATGTGGATCGATCCCCCTGGCCGGTGCCACCCCTTCGCAAAGAAAGGAGCACGGGGTGGATCGAGGCTCGAGGCATGAGACTCCCTATTTTTGGGCGCTCTCCGTCCCCTCTGGGCCTTCAAGAAGTTCCTCGTCGACACAGCTGGATCCACTCTCGAACTTCTGGCCGGACGACACCCCAGCTGGGTCTCAACGATCCCCGAGCCGATTCAGGAGGTGGAAAAGGAGGCCTGGGACATGCCCCGTGAAGGCCCGAAGAAACTCACAGAAGACCACGGAAAACTTCAAAACAATTCCCTACAAGGCCCCCCCCTTAAACCCCACACGCTACGTAGGACAGGCCGAAACCCCAAGATTGCCCAGCGATCGCGCGCGTTCCGCGAATTTTGTTTTTCACTCTTGCTGCCGCCCCAAATGAACGGCGGTGCGGCGTAAGCCAATGAATCGCCAGAACACAACATATAACATTATCATAGCCGAGCATAGCACAACATGTCCCTCAACTGGGCATGCTAACGACACAACACAACATACCATACCAGAACATAATCGGGTTTCTTTCAATTTCTTTCGTCAGGAGCTCTGGGGTTGTTGAATTTGGAGACCGCGGAACTCGCCAACTGGCCCCACTGCTGCACTGGACGAGACCACAGGGCCACGCGCGTAACGTTCCACCAACTAGGCGACGGCGCGCCGTCGGGAACAAACGCGTAATCTTTCGGTGGGGATCCTTCGAAGCAAACATTCCCCAATCATTTTTCTGTTTCTCTCCCGAGCGTGCGCCGTGGGGCTCGCCGCGCGGTGCAAGCACACACAGAGGGAGCTGAAAAAAAGGAACTCGTCAGACGTCAGGCTGCTTAGCAGCTGTAACAAACACAATTCGACTTGTATTGTGACAGGTGGAATTGTGACAGGTGGAGATCGACCGGAACTCACCCAGGGAAGAGACGAGGGCCTGTCAGAGGGACGTCCACGCAGCCAGCTCCGTGCTCGTGCGCAGCCTGCACTGAAGGGGTCCTAGCGGGAATTGAAAAATTTGGCGAACATTTCCCGACGATTTTTGTGGCCGGCTGGGTTCCCGTGTTCCTGGTTCTGGGTTCCCGCATTCCTGGTCATTGGCTCTGGTCCGATTTCGGTGGGTTCCCAGGTTCCCGGGTTCCTGGGTTCCGGGTCGATCTCTTGATCGATCCCATTTCACACCATCCACTGATTGGGCTTTTTCTCTGGTCGAACTTTTTCATTACGAAGTCCCCACTGGTCCCGAATCCATTTCCCAGGGCCAGTGTTTCATCCCGCGTCGCGTTTGCACGGTCCTGGGCCCAGAGGGCCTGTAGAGGCCGAAAATGACAAGAAGAACCCCCTCCCTCCTCCTCCTCCTCCTCCTCCTCCTCCTCCTCCCTCCTCCTCCTCCCTCCTCCTCCTCCCCCTCCCTCCTGTAGAGGGAGGAGGAGGAGGAGGAGGAGGAGGAGGAGGAGGAGGGGGGAGGAGGAGGGAGGGCCTGTAGAGTCTGCGTTGGATCTCTGGGTTCTTGGAGCCTGGCCCAGTGCGGCAGGTTCGCGTTGTGACGACCCTGGCGTGGAACGATCGGCGGCTTTCTGATCGCCCGATCGTTCCATGTAGGCCGACTCTGGGCCACCCTTGAACGCCCGCGGCGGGGTCGCCGCCAGTCGAAACGACGCGAACCTACCGTACCCTCACCTCTGCCCCTCGCTTATGCATGAGAGCCGCATCTAGACACGCATACGCGCACGTAGTGCTGTGCGGACCTTCTCCCGAATCGCACTGTGCATATCTGGCTGAACGTGTCGCGCTCGCGACCCTGCCCCGGAGAATGTCCGCTATACTTTGCGGGGTGGCGGTTGCAAAACAAAATATGCCCTGGTCAAGTCCTGCCCCCAAACTACCGCACCCAGTCCCCCACGTGCCCTGCTCCTCCCCCGCCTCCTCTCCCCGTAAACACCCCTCCCCCAAAGCAGGAGGAAGCAAGAGCAGCGGGATGCTGAGGAAGACGAGGACAAGCCGAAGCACGACGACGACGACGGCGCCGACGACCTTCTTGCCGTCGTTGGTCCGTATGCTCCCTGGCTCATGGAACATCGGCCTGTCCAAGCCCTCGAACCTGTCCCGGCACGCTCGTCTCTCGGCCTTGGCGAGACCTGGGCGAGGCGGGCTGGGGAATGTCTGACAACGAGGAGGAGGATAAGCAGCAGGAGTGGGGGCGGGGGAGAAGGAAGCCCCGAGCCTGAGGCCAACAGACATCCTGCAGGGGCGGGCTGTCGGCCTACACTTCGTCGATGGAGAGATAAGCGGGGTGTTCACCATGTGGGATGTTGAAGGGCCAGGGGTGTGGCAGTCGCCGAGTCGAGACCGCCCTTCGGAACGACCGAAGACGCCTTAAGCACAAAACACGTGCGAACGCACAACGATGTTACGCGAATCCCGACTGTGAAAACGAGTACGCTGGATATGCTAGTAGTGATCTGACTAGACGTCGCTTCGCTGGGGGGGGGAGACGACAGAAAGAGAGAGAGAGGGAGAGAGAAAACAAAAAAAAACACATAGAAAGAGACAGATATACGAACATATCATGGACTACCTAGAGAAAGAGAGACAACCAGGGAGAGGGAGATGGAGAGATAGAGAAAGAGAGAAAGAGAGGTAGAGAAACAAACAAATAAAAGAAACAAGAGAGGGACACATAAATATAGAGAGGGAGAGAGAGAGAGAGAGAGACACGAACGAGCAACAAGAGGGGGAGAGAGAGAGAGAGAACGGGAGAGAGGGAGCAACACAATGAATATATGGTTATAGAAACCAGATCACATCCAGACAAAACATACATGAGGCAGAGCGAGAGAGAGCGAGGCAGAGAGAAAAATGATGATGATGATGATGATGATGATGATGATGATGATGATGATGCTGATGATGATGATGATGATGATGATGATGATGATGATGATGATGATGGTGATGATGATGCTGATGATGATGGTGCTGAGGATGACGATGCTGCCGCTGCTGCTGCTGCTGCTGCTGCTGATGATGATGATGATGATGATGATGATGATGCGGCTAGTACTTTCGCTGAACAGTGCAACACAATACCAAGGGGGAGTCTTCGGAAGAGGAAAAGGGTGAGCAACATCAGCGGCAATAGCACACTGTGGAGACAACAAGGGAACACCCGGAGGTCGGCGAGGAGGGGGGGCAACGCGGGAACGCGGGAGGGAGGCTTCGCAAGAGGGAGGGCGGATGATGAATAAGGATGAGGATGTGCCGTTGAGCACGACAAAGGGAGAGAGGAGGAGGGAGGTAATGATGACAGAAACGAGAAGGCGGGGTAAGCATATGGATGACCAGAAGGGGAGGACAAACATAACCAGGATGAGGAGAACTAAAGGAGGGTGGGGTAAGGGAGGGAGGGAGGGAGAGAGGGACGGAGGGAGAGTGGGAAGGCAGGCTGGCGGAGGAGAGAGGAGGAAGGATGGCGATGAGGAGGAACATCGACAGGAGGCGAGAGGAGGGAAGATCGTATAACGATGAGGAGCACGGCGAGAGGGTAGGGATGAGGATGAGGAGGGGTGACGTCCAACTCTTCCTCGTCCCTTTCATCGCCTCCGCCTCGACATCCTGCTTCTTCTATCCATCCGCTATTATGCTCATACCATGCTCATCTCCCCCGCGACCTCCTCATAATCTTGGTCATGCTCAACCTCATAATCCACCCCCTCCGCCTAAACTCCTCCTCCGCCTAGCCCTCCTCCTCCTCCTCCTCCTTCTCCTCCGCCTAAACCTCCTCCCCTTGTTACTCCTCATCCGCTCCACCCTCCCTCCCCCTCCCCCTCCCCCCCCCCCCGTCCCACTTGTCCCCCTGCTCTCCTCTCCCTCCCCCTCCCCGCTTCCCCTCCCCTCTGCTCCTCCTCCTCCTCCTCCGTCCTCCCCTGCCCCTCGCGCCCCCCCCCCGTCCTCCCCTCGGCCCCTCGGCTCCCCGCCTCCTCGCCCCCCCCCTCCCGCGCCCGTGCCGCCCGCTGCTCCTCTCTCGCGCGGGCCCCTGGCGGCGGTCCCCCGGAGCGCGGGGCCCGTGGGGCGCGGCGGGGGGCGCACCACGCCCGGCCCCGCGCTCCCCCGATGCACGGGCCGCTCGCGCCCCTGCCCAGGCCGCTTGGCACCTCCTCGCCGGTCCCCGCTGCCGCCCTCCCTCGCGCCCTCCCCCCCGGGGGAGAGAAGAAGGGGCGTGCACGTGCATGTGAATCCATGTTGGCTTCAAGAGTGCGCATGGCGCGATCCTCCGCAACACGAGGCCGTCCTCGCGGACTGGGGGGGGGGGGCCTGCCGCACTCATGCCTTTGTGAGCTCCCTACCCCCGCCCGCCTCCGCTCGGCACTTCCCTGCTCGCCTCGCGCCTGCTCTCCTCGCCACGCCGAGAGCCCCACCCTCCACGGGGGGAGGTGGCCGTCGGGACCACTCCGGAAAAGCAGCCGTCGGGCATCAGAGGCCAGGCCCACCTCTGCCGACATCGCCATCCCGCCAGCCAGGCGCCGGAGCACCCCCTCGGCGACGAAGCGACACCACAGCCACGATCGGCGGTGGACAAACCTCCCTTCAGTAAACCTCCCTTTAGTGAAAACCGCCTGGGACCGAAACCGACGGACCTGGACCCGCAAAAATGACGGCCGCGACGCCCTCTCGCGAACCGAAAACGGCCCATTCCTTAATCGACGTGTCAAGGTAGGAGGTCTGTCCAACCCCGACACGAAGCGAAACCTCCCCAAACGTCCGGCGGTCCAGTCTTTCTGCGGCGGGGCCGTTCTGTTTGGCCCCGAGTCGCTCTTCGACGGCTCCGGGGCCCGTGGAGGGCCCTCGGCGGCCGAGCACAGCCCCGAACTGGCCGCGCCTTGTTTTGTTCGCAGGCTCGGATCTCTGGGCCAGCGACGAGCCGGCACCGCGAGGGCGTGGACGCGGACATTGAAGGGGCCCTGGGACACACAAATAAATACACACAGATGAAACTATCCCCCATATTTTCCCATATTTTCCGGGTTTCTGTCTTCCCCCCCACTTCCAATATTTTCCATGTTTTCCTAGGAGTCGACGATTAATTGTGTCTGTGTTTTTTTTTTTCCCTCCTGGGACATGCTCGCCGCACGTGGCGCGCCTTGCCCCCCCCCCCCCCCCCCCCCCCCGCCCCGGCGGAGCGGCCCACGGGGGCCGCGCCCCCGAGCCCAGACCGACAGGGCGTGGGCTTCCTGTTCGTCCTCCCGGGGGAGAGAAGGATCCTCGCGCAGCTGGCTTTGAGCCTGTTTTTCTTTGGATTCGGGCAAGTTTACTTGCATGGACGGGGGGAGGGGGGCTGAGTCTGAAGCAAGCCGAAAACAATTCGACGTGCGGAAATCACGCAAGTCGAAAGGCACTTGCACGCTCGTGTTCGATTGAAGAGGGGCGAGGGGGGAGGGGGCCAACGCCATGCAAGTAAGCTTGCCTGGATCTAAAGAACAACAGGCTCCTGGCGCCTCCTGGCGCTGGGAAGCGCCCGGTGTGCATCGCGGGATGGGCCCAGCGGCAGAGCGGAAGCCGGCCGTGCGCAGCGGACTTCGTGGCCCCCCTTTCCCTATCCCCCCCCGTTCGTTCGGCCCCATCCCTATATAGCTCGCTTGCCATGTCCCCCCTTATTCAGCGTTTTCCTTGCACTCGGCGGTGGACAGACCTCTCTTTGTGACGGACGAGTAACACATACCCATACCCATAGGGGGGTCGTTGGGAGGAGGACTGGCTGTGGCGGCTATGGGTATGGGTATGGGTTGTCGGACCCTGGGGAACGCTCCCGTTCGAACGGGGACCCCCATCCGACAACACGCACCCATAGCCCTCTCCGACCCCTCTATGGGTATGGGTGTGTGTGTTGTTGGTTCGTCACAGTTAGCAACCCACCCTTCAGTGAAAACGGCCTAGGACCGAAACCGACGGACCTGGACCCGCAAAAATGACGGCCGCGACGCCCTCTAGCGAACCGAAAACGGCCAACTCGCGAATCGAAGTGTCAGGTAGGAGGTCTATCAACCTCCGACCCAAAAGGATCCTCTTCGTCGCGGGAGAAACGGACCCCTCTTCTTTTGGAGTGAGAATGCTCTTTCGGAGGATCCTCCTTCTCGTCGGGGTCTCCGACCTCGCGGTCAGACACCCCAGCGACGATGCGACACCACGGCGACGAAGCTTTGCCTCAGCGACGAAGCAACACCGCGCGGGCGTGACATGGATCTGATACACGCAAGAGTGGCCCTATCGGCACGAGTGACCTCTGGTGCGCGGATCCAAGGGGCGCAAGGGGGCCAAACCCAAGCGCGCAAGCAACCGCTACCGCATCGCGCTCAGCGATCGGGGGACCCTGATTCGGGGATCTGCTAACCCGGGTCAATCAGATCCGGGTCTACAGGAAACCAAACAACTGCACTGCAGGAAAACAAAACTGCAACGGAGGGCTTCGCAAACCCGGGTTAGCCAACATGCGCGGCCGCCTCGCGGCCACGAGCGGCTCGCTAACTTGGGTCAGCCAGAAGGGGGGTTCGCAAGATATTGCAGGATCCGGTGCCCTGGCTGACCCCCAGTTGCATCGACCCCCGTCTCAAGGCTCCCGACCGATGAGCCCGCACCAAAGATCACTCCGGCAAAGGGCCTCCTCTTTTTCCGCCGCAGCACGGCAGAGGTCCGCACGGGCGCTCAAGGAATCGGGAAGCACGCCACTGACTAATTACCCGGCTGCAAGAGAGGCACGCGGGAGGAGAAGCAGCCGCAGAGGACGGGGGGGAGGAAGGCACTCACGGCTAGAATTAGGTCGGGCATGTCCCCCTGTAGGCGGATTTTGGACGAAAAATGAGAAGTAGTCAAAACATACTCCCAAAATTGTCAAACATTTCAAAAAATTTGCCCTGACCATTTGACTGCTTTGGGATATCCCCCTGTAGACGGAGAGGCCCGACTTAAGGCTAGAAGGGCCACTCTCACGTGTACACGTCGGTCGAAGTAGGTACAAGTATCAAGCAGAAAAACGGATGAGGTGGGTTGGGCCCACCCGGCCCTCCCAGAGAAGCACAAACACAGCCAAAGCAGATCGATTCCTCAAGTAGGCATGCGCCTGGAACTAGATCGGGATTTGGGAGCCCAGACATACCTGCTTTCAACAAAAGGCGCGTACGGCAGGATCGTGTGGTGTCGACCCCGGCGTTGGTTTCTGACACCGCGGGGATCGTTCAACCTTGAACGATCGGGCGTTTCCGAAGCGTCAGCTCGTTCAGCCTCGACCAATTCTGGGCCGCCGGCGGCGTTCAACGTTGAATGGCGGCGGCGGGGTTGCCGGCGGTCGAAACGACGCGACCCTACCGTAGCCGAAAATGTCACGCTCGCCGCCCGTGACGCGCGGACCGCCCCGACGCCACCCCCCTCTCGGGGATCTGCTGACCCGGGTCATTCCAGACCCGGGTCAGTCAGGCCTTGCAGAATCCTGCAACCTCCTGCAAGATCCTGCACCCAAACCCGGGTCAATGCGAAGGATCCTGCAAGATCCTGCACCCAAACCTGGGTCCTTCGACCAGGAGCCCAGGGTCTGGTGCCGTCGCGCTGCAGACTGGCCGCCGGGCGGAGGGAACACAAGCAACCAGACGCCAGGACGCGGCGCTGGGCTGGCAGATCGGCGCGGCAGGGTGCTGCGCTACCGTTTGTCCGAATACTTGTCCGGCTCCAACGGCAACGATAGCTGGGTCCATGCGCACGCACCTTGGCCCCGCAGGACCCTGCAAGATCCGGAGCTCTGGCGGACCCCCGTCTCTGTGGACCCCCGTCTCTCGAGCAGAGCCCCGACCCTCGACGGGAGGCCCGCCCCGGCGGGGCGGGCCGTGCTCGCCAGAGGAGGAGGAGGAGGAGGAGGAGGAGGAGGAAGAGGAGGAGGAGGAGGAGGAAGGAGGAGGAGGAGGAGGAGGAGACGAGGAGGAGGAGGAGGAGGAGGAGGAGGAGGAGGAGGAGGAGGAGGAGGAGCACGTGGAGGAGGACCGCCCCGACGCCCCCCCCCCCCTCGACGGGCGGCCCGCCCCGGCGGGCCGTGCTCTCCAGCGGGCTTCCACTGCGGCCGCTCGGGCACCGGCTCCGCGAGCCGGTCCGAGTCCCTAGAGGCGTCGGCGCGGGGGCGAGGAGGGGCAGGGGGGTGGGAAGGAGTGAGGAGGGGCGGGAGGGAGGAGGAGGAGGAGGAAGGAAGAAGGGGAGGCAGGAAGGGGGAGCGGGGCGCGGTGAGGGGGACCTGAGGGGAGGAGGAGGAGGAGGAGGAGGAGGAGGAGGAGGAGGAGGAGGAGGAGGAGGAGGAGGAGGAGGAGGAGGAAGAGGAGGAGGAGGAGGAGGAGGAGGGAGAGGAGGAGGACCAGCGCTCGGAGGAGGAGGTGGAGGTGGAGGAGGAGGAGGAGGAGGAGGAGGAGGAGGAGGAGGAGGAGAAGGAGGAGCAAGGGAGACGGGGGAGCGGGGGGGCGGAGGAGGAAGCGGGAAGGAGGAAGAACCAGGTGCAGGATGCAGGAGGATGGGGGAGGCAGACGTGGGGAGAAGAGGCTGGGTGGGCCAGAGCCGCCCTGCTGCCCGGATGCCCCCCCGGAGGCACCGCCGAGGTCCGCGCTCTGCGCGCGATGGTGGAGGAGGGTCGGATAGGACAGGCGCTTGGAGGCGGAGGGGGAGGATGCGGTCGGACCTAGGCCAGAAGAACATGCCACAAGAACATGAGACCCTCCGTCAGACAAAACACGCAGAGCGTTCAAGGGTACCTACCCCAGGATGCACAAGAGCAGCCATCAAGCACGAGGAACACTGGGGTCTCTCCGAACATACCTCGATCTTACACCTCGGTCCGACTGTACGGTCATCGCGCCACCAGCAGTTCGGAGGCAACTCCTAGGAGGATATCGCAAGAACGACTGAAACATACGAATCCCAATGAAGGCACTAATAAGCGGAATTCGCAAAGATGAAGCCCATGATTCAGCGGGATCAGGCTGGTTTCAACGGGAGTAAGCAGGATTGAACTAGAATAAGCTGCACGAACAGAAACTGTTATCGGAACTCCGCACGGATTTCTTCTGTCGGCGCTGGAGCCCCCTGGGGGCGCCTCTGGCGCGCTCTGCGAAAGAGAGACCAGCGTCGATCCAAGTAATCCTCGCAGACCCCCGAAAGTGCATGTTCGTGCAGTTTTCTGGTCTTCGAAACCATCACGCTACCAGAAGGGCCGCACGATACAACAAGGAACGACGTGGCTTCCTGGCCGCGGAGAACCTCGGCCACGCACACGTTCCCCGAGCTTGGTCTCAGGAACGGCCCGAACACCAGAGACCGGCCAGAGCAACTCCTGAGTAATTAGGTCAGCGCAGCAACGAATCAAAAGCGATTGCGCCCGAACGAAGCCAGCTCAGGCAGGGCTCTGCGGGTTCTGGGCCATGGATGCGTCAGCGCCGATGCCGAGTGTAACCTCCCAGACGTTGCGACCGACGGGAGGCGGCCCTCGGCGAAGGGCGGCGGTGCAGGGCGAGGGGGAGGGGCGAAACTAACCGACGGGGACGGGGCGGAAAAGGGGAGATGGGAGGGGGCGGGACGGGAAGATGGGAGGAGGGGGTTCGGGGGGGGGCAAGGTTGGGGGAAAGGAGAGAAGGGGGAGGGGTAAGAGAGAAAGACGGGAGGAGGGGATTGGGAGGGCAACGTCAGATGGGGGCAGTGGGGGAGGGGGGGGGCAAGCTGGGCGCGCTAGCGTCAAATCTGACGTCCTACCCCTCCCTCCCATCCCTTACCATGGCGTAGAAATCCGATCTATTCGCACAGTCGGATGTCGAGCAGGGCAGTGACCCCAAGAGAGTAAGCGATGGATAGAAAAACATGGCGTAGAAGAGTACGGCAGAGCATAGTATGTCATAGTATGGCGTGGCATTGCGTAATGACGCATTGCATCACAAAGCATAGCAACACAAAGCATGGCATCGCACAGCTGCGCACAACACAACATCGCATTGCATGCCGTGGAATGGCACCGGATGATTTGGAGGGTAAAGGTCCCGTCTACGAGAAGACAGGGCCTGTCCGGAATGCCGGCCCCATGTCCTCCGCAACCGTGCCTGCCCGATGTGGGCGCTTTCGAATGCCAAGTGGCGTCCGGAGGCGCGGGAACGAGGCCAGCGCTGCTGGGGGAGGAGGATTTTGAATGACCAGAGCGCAGAAATGAGGGCGGCGCTGCAGCGGGATAACTATCTTGGAAGAACCAGACACGACCATATTGAAACTAACACATTATAAACACATGAAATCCAATGTCAAACAACAGCGGAGAGGACGGGCCACTCTCTGGACAGAGTCAGGGGAGAGAGAAGAGTAGTACCCATATTGTGCAATTGTACAGGAAGGTGGGAAGTGGGGATGCGGAGAGCAGCGTTGAAAGGGGAAGATAGGGGAGAAGGGTATGGGAGACGGGGATGGGGCGAGCGGCGAGATAGGGCGAGCTGCGAGACCCACCTTCCCTGTTCCCCTATTCTGCTCCCCTCCTCCTTCTCCTCCTCCTGCGCCGCCCAGTGCCCCCCCTATCCCTTCTCCCCTCACTCCCTCCCTCCTTCCCTCCCGCAGAGACGTAGCACGACCAACCCCCGCCGCTCTCCTGCGCGCCAGGTCGGATTTGGTCCATCCGCGGCCCAGAGGTCCCGACCGCTTCCCCGCGGCAAGCTTGTCGCCCTGGAACTTCGATGGCCCCAGAGCCCGAAAACAGCCCCCGAGAGCCGACGTCGAGGAAAAAAAACGGTTGACAAAGTCAGATCATTGGAGATCTGGAAATCGTTGTAAATGTTCGACGATAACCCAAATTATCCGTTGGGGGGAGGAGGGAGGTGCTGGCAGATAACCAAACCTTTTTGCATTGGGCAGCCCCACGCATGCCCGCGAACACTAAACGTGCAACCCCTGCGCAACCGACAAGGTCAGGTCCTCCGGGGGGGGATGGCAAGGGGGGAGAAGACATCGCCAGACCCCTCAGAAACAATCTGCTGACTCCCTGGGAGGAATGCGGCAGGGCCCCCCGCCACGCTCTTCGTCCATCCAGACCTGGGCAGCCACTCCTCCGCGGCCAGCGCGGAGTTATCGTCCCGCACCCGTATCTTGTCCGCGCCGGCCAGGCCCAGGAGCGCCCGCAGCCCCGTCAGAGGGCCCCCCCCCCCTCCTCCACCCCTCCTCCCCTCCCCTCCTTCTCTCCTCCTCCTCTCCTCCTTCCTCCTCCTCCTCGGCTTCCTCCTCCTCGCTTCTCCTCCTTTCCCTCCTTCCTCCTCCTCCTTTTCCCTTTCCTCCTCCTCCTCTCTCCTCCTCCTCCCTTCTACTACTACTTCTCCTCCTCCTCCTCCTCCTCGCCTCCTCCTCCTCCTCCTCTCTCCTTCCCCCCCTTCACCCTCCCCCTCCTCCTCCTCCTCCTCCTCCTCCTCCTCCCCTCCTCCTTCCCTCCTCCTCCTCCTCCTCGTCCTCCCGCTCTGCCTCCTCCTCCTTGGGGGGAGGAGTGGGGGATGGGGGATGGGGGCGGGGGAGGAGTACCCGATTCGGGAACAATCGAGATTGTCCCATGACCGGCAGGAGGAGGAGGAGGAGGAGGAGGAGAGGAGGAGGAGGAGGAGGGGAGGGGAGGAGGGGAGGAGAGGAGGAGGAGGAGGAGGAGAGGGAGGAGGAAAAGGCGGAGGGGGATATGGAGGACGAGGAAGAGGAGGAGGAGGAGGAGGAGGAGGAGGAGGAGGAGAGGAGGAGGAGGAGGAGGAGGAGAGGAGGAGGAGGGGGGGAGGAGGAGGAGAGGAGGAGGAGGAGGAGGAGGAGGGGGAGAAGGATGGATGATGAGGGGAGGAGGAGGAGGAGGAGGAGGAGGAGGAGGAGGAGGAGAAAGATGAGAAGGAGGAGAGGAGAGGAGGAGGGGGAGGAAGAGGAGGAGGAGGAGAGGAGGAGGAGGAGGAGGAGGAGGGAGGAACGAAGAAGGAGGGGGGCGGAGGAAAAGGAGAAATGAGGTAATCCAGAAGACAAGAGACGACAGGACGAAGAGGCGGGATGACGAAGGGGAAATGGAGCATGAGGCGGAAGAGGAGGCGAGGATATGATAACCTAAACAAGGGATGAAAACACGAGGGAAGGGTACCCCCCTTCTGGCCCTGCTCCCCTCCTGCGCCCACCCCCTCCTGCTGCGGCTGCAGCTGCTGCTGGTTTTCACCCCGGGGAAGATAAGAAACAGGGATATGTTGATGATGTTGATAATGCTGCGGCTGCTGCTGCTGCTTCTGCTGCTGCTGCTGCTGCTGATGATGATGATGATGATGATGAGGATGATGGTGGTGACCATGCTGATGTTGGTGATGATGAGTCTGAACGTGATGATGGTCATGCTGATTATGGATATGCTGATGAGGATGAGGATCTAAAGCAGAAGAGACAGTCTGGAGAATATCCCCTGGCAATGATGCTGGTTGTGGTAATGGCGATGCTGACAGTGTTGATGATGCCGGCTATGATTATGATGATGCTGCTGATGATGATGATGCTGATCACGAATATTGTGATGACCACGATCACGATCATGATAATGTTCAGGATCATGTTGGTGCTTCTGACACTGTTAGTGACAATGATGATGATGCTGATGATGACACTGATGCTGATTATGAGGATGATGATGATGCTGATGATGATTGCACTGAGGTTTATATAGGAGCTCTAGCAGACACACACACACAGGTCGGCACAACGTCCAAGATTACCATGATGTGTTAACGTGTCATTAATGTGTCTCTTCCCTTCCATGTCCTACATTATCCCATATGTCTATGAAACGCGCAGGTGGTTGTGTTTGTTTTGACCTGTCCCTCATGAGATGAGGAGGCCGAACTGCTGACAAGCAAAATGACTGTACCAGCAGCACCCGCAGCTCTAAATGCATCAAATAACAACTTCAGTGGCACCCCTACTACTCCTTATCCTCTTGCTTCTACCTTCGCTCTACTCCTCCTTATTCCCCCTTGCCCTCTTCCTCCTGGAAAAAGACAAATGATAAAAGCACGTAAATATCCAGAGATCCGCGCGAATCTCTTGGATCCGCGCTCGATCCCCCCTTCCTAGCGAGCGGAGTGCGCCAGGGAAGGCGCGAGATGCGAAGCCAGAGGTGTGCCCAGCAACGAACTATGAAATCAGCGTTGTCCTCCTAAAGTTTGTGTTTATGCTATCTGTAGATTCTTGTCCTCCTTCTCCTCCTCGCTCTTCCTCCTCGCTCCTCCTCCTCCTCCTCATCCTCTCCTCAATCCTCTCCTCAATCCTCTCTTCCTCCTTCTTCTCCTCCTTCTTCTCCTCCTCCTCCTCCTACTCCCCCTGGCCCTCCTCCTGCCTCACCGCCCTTCGACATCCTCCAGGCCGTAGGCAAACCAACAGGTACCGATACCGCAAATGACTCCCCAAACCTCTCCTGGGGTGCGTTCTGGCCCGAACTTCCAAGCGAATCTGGCCGCGGTGGCGAAGGCCTCCCAGGAGGCCCCAAAGAGGCGAACACCAGGAAAGGGTAGCGGTATCTCAGACGAAAGCAGGACAGGGGCGGCAGAGTCGGACAGGGATAAATGGGGGATCTTTGAGATCTGGCGGTTCTGGAGGATGTATCGAGCGCTGCGGCTCTCAGAGCGTTCAAGAACGCTCCGAAAGCATTCTGGATGTATGTATCCCTGTCCCAACTACGCCCGAGTATCCGTATCCAGACATCTGGCCCTCCAATTGTATGTATTCGATGAAAGGACTCCTGGAGATGTGGACCGCTTCCCCAAAGCCAATTTTTCATCTTGAATCGTTTCTTGACGGTCCCGGGGTCCGTTGAGGGTCCCGGAGAAACTAGCCAAAAACTGGCAGCTCATTTTTTTTGGCCTTCCTCTGAAGACCGAGGCCGCGAGGGTTCCTGGGCCCAGGTGCTGAGGCCGACGACGGTGCAGGACCGCTTCTGGCCGGAGGCGCTCTGCACGAACAACCTGTCGCCGAGCTTAACGCCGGGCGCCTCTGAGGGCGGGGAGGAGGGGGAGGTGGAGGGAGAGCAGGAGGAGGAGGCGGAGGAGGAGGACGAGGAGGAGGAGGAGCAGGAGGAGGACGAGAAGGACGAGGAGGAGGCGGAGGAGGAGGAGGAGGAAAAGGAGGAGGAGGAGGAGGAGGGGGAACGAGGAGCAAGGAGCGAGGAGGAGGAGGAGGGAGGAAAATGAGGAGGAAGGTGGAACTGAACGGAAATGAATGCCCGAAGGGAAAAGCACAGCACTACAAACCTGTGCAAGCATAAGGTTACTTGCCTCTGGCGGCTTCTTTGATACGACGATGAGGAGGAAGCGCGAGAAAAAGCAGGAGAAGGAGGAGGAGGAGACGGATGATGATGATGATGAGGAGGAGGAGGAGGAGGGGAAGGAGGAGGAGGAGGAGTAGGATGAGGAGGACGAGGAGGAGAAGGAGGACGAGGAGGAGGAGGAGGAGGAGGACGAGGGAGGAGGAGCGAGGAGGAGCGAGGAGAGGGAGGAGGAAGAGACGAGGAGAAGGAAGAGGAGGAGACGAGGAAATGAGGCGGCGTGACGGAGGTAGCGGGGGTCGGGCAGAAGAGAACAGATACGAAGACAACGCCCGTGCAACCGCACCGTGCTTCGAGTCCCTTCGGGGCCCGCTCCGGCGCATAGTGTTTCGGCCCTGCGGGCCGAAGAGCTGGGCACCGAGCCATTCCTGTGTCGCGTGCCAACAATGCTTCGGGAGACGCCAACGCGGTACAGTGCACACGTGTCGTCCGTGGGAAGTGGGTGTCATCCTGCCTCCATGTGCTCCCTCCCCTACTTCCTCCCCCTTGTCCTCCTCCATCGTCGTCGTACTCGGCGTCGTCGTCGTCCTCTTCCTCCTCCTGTTTTCCTTTTTTCCTCTTCTTCCTTCCTGATTATTAATCTTGCTTGTTTGTGTTATGACTGTTTTGGCTTATGATTACTATTTGCATTATTATTCGTATTATTATCCGTATTATTCCCAACCCTCCTGCGTTGGGTTCTCGTTTTGAATAGAGCAGTGCGGTCGCGTCTCCTCCTTCTCCTCCTCCTTCCCGCCTCGTTCCTCCTTTCCTCTTCCCCCCTGCATCTCACCTTGCTCGTCGCCGCGTGTCAGCTTGCCTCCTGCCTGGTCATCCCTGTGCGGGGCTGCGATCTGCGAAACTGTCGCCACTTTCGAGGGCTGCTGGGGGGCCCAGCGGAGTGATGTCATACTCAGACCCAGATTAGACCTCGCCATCCCTGGGGGGGCTGCGATCTGTGAAACTGTCGCCACTTTCGAGGGCTGCTGGTGGGTCCAGCGGAGCGAGGCACCACGGGGACCCAGATTCGATCTCGCCATCCCTGGGGGGCTGCGATCTGCGATGTGAAACCGTCGCCACTTTCGATGGCTGCTGGGGGGCCCAGCGGAGTGAGGCACCACGGGGACCCAGATTAGACCTCGCCATCTCTGGGGGGCTGCGATCTGCGAAATTGTCGCCACTTCCGAGGGCTGCTGGGGTGACCAGCGGAGTGAGCAACCACGGGGACTCAGATTAGACCTCGCCATCGCTGGGGAGGGGCTGCGATTTGCGAAATTGTCGCCAGTTTCGAGGGTTGCGGGGGGGGGGCAGCGGAGTGGGGTACTCAGATTCGACCTCGCCATTCCTGGGGGACTGCGATGTGCGAAACCGTCGCCACTTTCGATGGCTGCTGGGGGGCCAGCGGAGTGGGTCCTACGCAGACTCAGGCTCGACTTCGCCATCCCCGAAGGGCTGCGATCTGCGAAATTGTCACCACTTTCGAGGGCTGCTGGAGGGCCCAGCGGAGTGGGGACATATTTGGATTCATATTAGACCTCGCCATCCTTGGGGGGCTGCGACCTGCGAAACTGTCACCACTTTCGAGGGCTGCTGGGTGGCCCAGCGGAGTGACGTCATACGCGAGCCTGGAGCTTTAATCTTCGTTCTTTCGATCGTCGTCCTGTGAGCCGTGCACTGCGTGCGCATCCCATGTAGTTTGCACAGCAATTCACATCGCCTACATTATCGTTGTTCCTGCTAATCTTGGCCTACCCCTCTTGCCACTTGATGCACGTGGGTTGGGTACGTCGCAGGGTAATTATTAATAGAAATTAATTCATTAATGGATGGAGGAAGTAATTAATCAACCAATTAATTAATGAATCAATCCATTAGCTATACTTAAAACCCTACAAGAAGAATCGTGGCCAGTCATATTATTACGATTTTCCTCCTCCTCCTTGTCCTCCTCCTTTTCGTACGGCTGAGGCACGACTGGTCACTCCGCGAGCGGCCACCACCCGACTACAGCGCGCAGAAACGGCAGAGCTGGGACCATCCACGAAGGGAGGAGTCCCCTTAGAAGTTTGCTCCCTCCCGAACTCTTCTTAAAGCACTCGCAAGGCAACTTAAGGAGGGGGCTGCCACGACTGCTGGCTAACCCTCTACAAGAAACACAACACACGACTGGGACACCGCTCTCTTCAATCCTGGCCCAATGGAGGTGATGCCTGGGACCCTCCACTTTCACGTAGGAAGTCCGAGAGACTGGGGCTCAGGGCAACCACGTGGTGTCTGGGTCGAACTCGAGACCTGTCGTGAGCATCTCATACACCTCTGGGCAGAACCATGCCAAACAGGAATGTGCTCAGACCTAGGAGGCGGAGGCACATGGAATTTCGCACGCCTTCTGAATTTACCGACTTGGGCCTCGCACGACGGGAAACCTCCCAGGACATGCAACGCAGCAGTGACAAGGGCCTCGTACTCTTGTACACGTTTCTCAAAGGTCAGCAATTCTTGGGGCGACTGCTCGTCAGCCTTAGCCTACATTTTGGCCTAGTGGTCGGCCGTCGTGGAACCATGGCTGTCCCGCGAAACGTTCTCATCCGCCGCATCGATCGAACACCCGTGAACAGCATTCTTACGAAGCGAGATCCAGTCGCCAGCTCCAGCGTCTCTGGCTATGGACCTCCAGAAAAGAAACCACTCCTCGATCCCCCCCCCGGGCCCTCGACGGAGACCTCGCACCAAAAGAAAAGCCCAAACCATCAACACCCATGGCCTTGGGAGGAGCACCCGGCGACCGCTCCTGCCTGAACACGACCAAGGCCAAGGCCGCGTGCTCCGCATCACCTGGGAACGACGCGAATGCCTGAGGGAAAGGGCTGTAAACATCTTGTCGGCGCATCCCGTCCGCGTTCATTCCAACGGCGGCAACACCAGAAGGGGCAACTTCTTCCCGAGCGGCGCGGGAACAACAGCCATCCGTAAAACAAAATCGGGATGGGGCCCAAACAAAAATCAGGTTCCGCGGTTTCTCCGTGGCCCCCGAAAAACCTTCGACTCCAGTCATCGCGCTGAGGTGGGGCATCTGGGCCGGCAGGCCATAACCCGAGGAGCGTTCGACAATTCTCACCGCGCTCCAAGGCCACGACCCGAGGAACTTTCGACCATTCTCGACCGCGCTCACCGCTGCAAACGCAGTCAGCAGCGCGTCGCTGCGCAATGTCAGGATGCTGGCAGACCCCGCAGCGGCGCCAGATGATGTCCTCGCCGCGCAACGGACATGTAAACTCGGCGTCGCATCCCCGCTTCCTGAGGGGCACTTCTGAAGGCACCATCAACGACTTGTCTTCGTGAAAAGGGGGGGGCAGATACCTCCATCCGCAAGACCTTTCTTCCCGGGGCGCAGCGAGGCCCCAAGGCCCGCGCAGACCGCGACAGATATCCGCGGGCCAGAGCAGCAACGCAATGTTCAGTGACCTGAGACAGGGAAGACTCGGTCAGCACCCATCTTGGCCCTGGAGCGCCACTCGGACCGCGGGGCCTTCCCCTGACCAGCCGCCAGCTTCCAGCCGGAGGGGCGCGGCAGAGACTAACCCACGGGTTTAGAACAAAAACGAAGGCGCACAAACAATGTGCCTCGGGCACCCTGGAAAGCCGAAAGACACACGCAGGAAATGCGTTGTTCGAACATCTAAAGCTCAGGGCGTCACGGGGCCTGGGGGGCACATGCCTACTGCCCTCCGAACTGCGCGACCGCTCCCGGCAGTGGCGCTTCACACATCCCCCAGCTTGAGTGATTGGGTATCGCATGCCTTCGGTGGCCCGCATCAGGTCCATATTGCAGCCCTTCTTGCTAATCCCCCAGACTCGCACCGCCGATTGCCGACTAATCAGAAGCCCCCGACACGAAGTCCCTCGACTTTCAAGCTCATTGGACACAGCTGGTAGAACCCCAGCTTCGAACTAGCTTTTCTCGAGTTTGGGGGGCGCCTGGGTGCCCGAGAGCTTAGAGATGCGATGATTGAGTGTTCTGCACAGGATTCTTAAATATCAATTTAGCAGAGGCCTGCCACTGGCGTTTCCCGCTGCGAAGCTGACGCCGTGGCTGGCGGGGGCAAGGGGCCATGGACCTGCAAGTGTGCCTAGCCTATGCTTGATAGCTTTTGATGGCCCAGCGCCGTTCGCGGTGGCGGGCATCTTCTTCCCGGCTAGGAGCGCTCGAAGTCTCTGGGATACAGTGGCGAGGATGGTTGTTAGATCGCGAAGCTTCGCGACGCAGTCCTCGAGGCTGCCGCGCCAGGGGTGGGCAGAGAGATCGTCCACGTGAAGTCCCTCGCTGGCGTTCTCCGTACCCCTGTGATGAACAACGGTGGAAGGAGGAAAGACTCTGCCTCGTTGGTCGCAGAGGCGCCGCCTGTCACTGTGCCCCTGCGCGGGGGCGATGGCTCTGGACGCGTTCCGTCTAGCAGAGGATATCGCTTTGAACGATGTTGACATGGCGCAGATGAAGATGTAGCGGGGGGGGGGCTCCGAGATGACACTTTGATCCAACAACCTCCGATGGCTGATATGCCCGTAGAACCGGAGGAGGTCCCGTGGGAGGTCCCAAAGGAGGGCCCGAGAAGATGTCGGAGGAAACCCTTGGGCCCCAGAGTGTGTCGAAGGCGCTCTGGCCCTGCCCCATCGAGAACTCAGGTCCCAATCGAACGCGCTGCCCCCGTGCCCTCCAGGGGTTGCCGCGGGACTTCCCGCGGGGCCTCGCGGACCCCTGCCTGGCGCCCCATCAAGAAAGCTACGCGCTGCCGCGCCCGAGAAGGCCCTGGACCTGGTACATCAACCAAGTGAAACAGCCACGAGAGGTCCAGCAACGCCTGATCGGACAAGAGCGAGTAGCGCATAGGGCGGAAGCCGCCAGGAGTGCAAGTGCACTAATTGAAACGACTGCTGACGCGTCGAATTATCTCAGGGCTGACGCCCTCTGGGACTGAAACGCGACCAGGAGGAAGAGCTACTTCACCTGCCTGTGCATCAGAATCAAAGGCCTGACAGGCAGTTGCCCGCGTCTGCCTCTCAGAGAGCCAGCCAGGCAAAGGGCGAGCTGGAACCATATTTATCAGCGCATGTAAACCCTCCGTTGACAGGCCGGCCACTCCGTGGGAAACCGACCACCTGCCGAATGCTGCCTCCTACTGCCTCTGCGCACCACCTCTTCCACGATTCCCCGGTGCGAGATCGATCTCCGACTTGCCCCAACTTGACCAATTCCCGATGACAGCCAGGAGCAGGTCGCACGGATCGAAGATTTGGTCGAGGAGTGGTGCGCCTGGAATCTCCAGCGCAAGCGTAGCTGAACAGGATGACAAAAGTCACCCCCTCCTTTCCAGCGCCCCCTGAAAGGGCCCCCCCAAACGGGGAGCAGGCGCCATTGCCGAAGAAGCCCTGAGAAACGCGACTCGCTGCGCCCGCGCAAGAGGAGGGCTCGGAATTCCCGCGGCCGATGAAAGACCCATTCCGAGGCTCTACCAAGGAAAACATTATCGGAATGTCTTGATGCCCAACAAAGCCTTTAGGGGCGCGTTCTTGAAGTTCGACTTGGGGCCTCCAGGAAAGCCGGTTGCCTCGCGGGCTCGGCGCCTGTTCGGCACCTCGTCCCAGGCCTTAGACGCCCCAGATTTACGCGCGCAAGCCATGGGTTGAAGCCCTCGTTCCCGTTCCTCGCCAGTGGCCATATAGAATCTACCTTCAGGGCCCTGACGAGGCCCAGGGAAGCCCTCGAGGCTGTCGAGCAACTCATCATGCGCAGGAACCTCGACAAAGGGCCCCGCAGCAGAACCGGGAGTAACATGTTGAAACTTAACAAGAACTCTGCAACGTACTCCTTCAAATCCAATCGAATGGACAGGGGCGCGGGGCGCGGGGGCTGCGCGGCCCGCCGCAGGCACCGCCCGCCGACAAGCTGCCTAGAATCGAAAGCGAAGTGATTACGTGGAATGAAATAGTCGATGGCGTGGACGCACCTGGAACAACACAAGAGAAAACTAGTGCGGCCCTGATAACTCCTGCAACATGCGCAAGAGCGGCACAGGCTGCCATGGCGCGCGCGCGGGGGGGGCGGGGGGGGGCGCGTCGGAATTGCCCCCGATGTGGTGAGCGGGCCCATGCCCAAGGATATCATCCCAGACGACCTTCAAGGTCATGATGCTCTGGCCCTCGCACCACTGGGGCCCATCAAGCACGGCGAGCAAGCGCTCCAACCTCAGCCGATCAAGTAAATGCTTAACAACTCGCCCGTCGGGAAAATACACAGGCGCGCCAAAAAAACTCGCCCTTCCTATGAACCATGATGCCTCCTGACGAAGATCATGGTCTCATAGGTCGCGCTGCGAGTTGCGCCTGAGATGCAGCGCCCCCGGGCAAGCGCCCCCGCCCCCCGCGACGTCCGGGGCGGGGGCGCATCGGCGACGCGCGGGCGCCGCGCATCTTTAGCCCCTGCAAAAGAACGACATGGGCATCCGAGGTCCGAACCACTTCAGAGAAACCATGCGCGCGATGACGGAGGCCGCTGCCCACCTCGCCCCGAGTCTCTCCATGCCAGCTCGCGCCATTGATCGCGACGACCTGCATCGGGCCCGGCGCCTGCTCGCGCGCCGAGGCCGACTGGGTTGAACAACTCCGGCAGGCTGCCCGCGACCCCCTGACAAACGCCGCCCGCCCGCGAAGAGGGCCCGATAAACCCGCCACCAAGGGAGGAGAGACTCTGGGTTGCCGAACGCGAAATGGGGGGGGGCCCGCCGGGCACCCCCTGGCGACTTCACCCCCCCATCAGGGCCCAAGCTCCAGGTCGGGCTCTTTTCGGGGGGGCGCAGTCTCCACCTTCTCCGGGGGCCGACAGAGCCGCAACGCAAACGAAGTCGGAAGAGAAACTGGTGCACTAGTCTCATCGGACCATGAGAGACGCGCGACGCGGTGGGGGGGCCGCCCCTAGGCAGAGTGAACGCGTAGAGAGCAGCGGCGCCCAGGCCTGTGGATCGCTGTCTCTGGGCCCTTCCCGCCCAGCTCGCGCCCCCGAGCTCGCGGGGAAGGGCGGCGGAAGAAACGTCGGCAAACCTGGGGCAGGCGCGTCTCCGCGCCCTGGCCCAGGCCGTCGCCCTCCAGGACCGTGGGAACGAGCGCGCTGTCTCTTGCTGGCCAGCTTGGAAGCGCTTGAGAGCCCCCTCTGGGAACTAGCTGATACCCACTCCATGCTGCGCAACGCGCCCATGACATCAGCCTCGTCGGCACGCGTGCTGAAATCCTAGGAGACAGAAGTCATGCTGCGGATGGCCACCCCTCTGGCGTGGCATCGCGCGGCCCATCCAAGAATTCCTTGGAACGGGCCTGGGTGGACTTCCTGGTCGCGTCGTTCTAGACACCCGCAGGGGCGCCTCGAAATCGGCCCAGATGCGCCGCGAAGTCGGACGTAGTCGGAGCACTCGATGGATTCCGAAGCCTTTTCAGTCTCAGAAATCCGAAGCTTTTCGGCCGCAATGCGATCCTCCACTTCCTCCTTCGATGGCTGAAGATGCCCAACTTTCTGCGCGATGGAACGCGCTCCTCAAAAAAATACACGACTCTGTTCGCACGTGGCCGGATCATGCCCCATGTTTCGTAACTTCGTGGACGCAGGGGCGGCGGCCTGCTTCTCCTCTTGAGCCGCCTTCCAAGCCCGGGGAATGGCTTCGCGCGAGGCAGCAGGCAACATTCTTGCAGGCTCCCCCCCGCTGAGAAGCCATGAGAGGCGATTCATCTCGTCGCGGATAGAGCGGGAGATGCCGCCCTTCCCGCTGCTGTCGTTAGAATGAGACTCACCTCCTGGACAACTTCCGGGCCTGCGATCCTTTCCGTTCGACTGACCCTTGCCGCCGCCCGCCCCGCCAGATCGGCCCCGGGGGCTCAGGGGAGACGAGCCCGCGGCGAAACGAAGGTGAAAATTCAGGCTGGCATCCTTTACAATGGTGGCAGAATTTGAAGTGGCTCGGGCAGCGCGGGCGCGACGCGCCAACCTCCCCACTTCCATCGCCGTGGCCCGGCATGGGCCCGGGCCGCGCGGAAAGAGGCAGGCAATGGAGCCTGCAAGCGAGAAGCGCGAGCTCTACGCGGCCCTGGCCGAGCGGCGAAAACCGGCCTGAACCCCTTGGGCGAGTTTGCGCAGTTCAAAAGCGGGCCCCTTGAGCCAAAATGGCCGCGGCCTGCTGCTCCTTCTCATCCTCCCCCTCCTCTTCCCGCTGGACTCGACCAGATTCGATCGTCTCGACCGGTCTCGATCGGTCCCGATCAGCCCTGGTCAGTCTCGGCCGGCTTCGATCGGTCTCGGCGCCGATCGGTCTCGGACTTGCGCCATTGCTCCCGAGGGCGATCGAGACAGACCAGAAGCGACCGGGACCGAGCGAGGCCGATCGAGGCCGACTCAGACGGACCGAGACCGACCGAAACCCATCGAGGCCCACCCAGACTGATCGAAATCGATTGAGCCCGATCAACCCACATCGATCGAGACCGATCACGCCAACGCCTGAATGGCAGGCCCCGTCGCGGGCCCACGCGGCAACGGAAGGCGGGGCGGGGGCCGCGCGCGCATCTTGCGCCGGCGCGGTCTCCGTCGCCGACCGAAGCCCCAGCGCCAACGGGGCCGCCGCGGATCCCACCGCCTGCCAAGCAGCCGCCGTCGCGACCCAGCCGCCCCCGAACGGGGCCGACCGAAGACATGCAACAGGGGAAAACAGAACAACGAACAGCAAACCAGAAGCATGCGCCGGCGCGCGCTCGACCCCTTCCAACATGTAGGCGCCGCTGGCTGAAGTTTCTCCTGGAGGAGGAGGAGGAGGAGGAGGAGGAGGAGGAGGAGGAGGAGGAGGGGGAGGAGGAGGAGGAGGAGGAGGAGGAGGAGGAGGAGGAGGAGGAGGACGAGGAGGAAGAGGAGATCGGAGCATGCATGGCAGAACGGCCGTCGACTGGCGCCGAACCCGGTGCCAACTCCCGCGGTGGGGGGGCTGTCGAGGTCGGGTTGCGCGCGCGCCGCGGCCTGGCCGCTGGGCGGGGGGTCTGCGCGAGGAGCCCCCGCCCCGTCGCGCTCCCCCCGCGCCCCCCCTCCCTGAGAGCCAGTCGCGCCCGCGCCCGGGCGCGCGACCCAAACTCGGGAGCGGCCAAGAGGGGGGTGTCCAAGAGGGGGGGGTGCAAATCATGACTGGCGGCATGTGCGCGGCCAACGCCATGATATCTACCCCCCCCCTAGTCATCACCCCCCTCTTTTCCGCCCCCGACAAACGACCAGCTGCGGGGCGAGCGCCCGAAACGCGCGCGCGCATGCAAAATGTGCAACCTATGCGCCAACGGGGCCCTCGGACCTTCCGGGGCGCCCCCATGGACCACAGACGCGAAAAGGCAGAGCATCAGAATGCGAGCTCGGCAGCACTCTCCGGGGCGCTATCACGGTTGCCCAACGCAGCGCGCTCAACCAGAGGGGCGTCTTTGTCGGAAACTTGGCGAGGCGCGCTCGCTCGTCTCGCGCCGCGCAGGCAACTCCGGAGGGGCGATCTGGAATAATGAGAGGAGGGGAGATTTCTCATTGCAGCGCCACTTGGAACAAAATCTCGCATATCGCTGGGGCCCCAACTGACGCCGCAACTCACTGGGCTCACTATTTCCTGGCCCCCCTCTTGGGTGGGCCGCTGGCGTCGGCTTCGCGTCCGGGGCAAGCGCGGTCGATCTCCTCGACCCCGGCTCGCGCCGGAGTCTGCGCGAGCGGCGCACGACGCCCCTCACTGCCCTCCTGTGACAGAGGTACAAGGGACATGCGCGCGCAAAGGTCTTCGCCTGGGTCCGCGAGCGGCTGAATCGGAGAGACGGGGTCCATGTGCGCAATTGGTGTAGGGCATGCCGCTATATGACGATCGGGCCTGTCGACGTGCGTTCGGGCTGAGCCGGAAAACGGGCCCCAGCGTCGGCGTCCCATGAATTGGCGCAAGAAAAAATGGCTGGCTCGATGCTGGAGTCCTTGCCACTGGAGAAAAAAGAACTCGAGCGTTCGGCGCCGATGATGGCGACGCGCATCCCGTCTTGGAGGGCGGAGTGATGCATGGCAAGCCAACCGTGGTTGACGGCATGACCTCCGCAACTGGCGATGGGGCCGCCGCGCGAAGAATATGCGGAACACTGAAACCACGACCCGCACCACGGCCACCCGGAGCTTCCGTGAGGGTCGCCTCACCACTAGCCGCGCCACTGGGCCCCGTCGTCTCCTGGGTACGTAAATGATTGAGAAATTTGATAAAATGTCGCAGCCTGAGAAAACTGGCTGCGCCGCCTGCATCCTTGGAATATGTCCCGAGGGTCTTGGCCGAAATAGACTGTGCTACAATATTCAGAGTCGCTATGTGTATGACTATCGTATTGAACGCTTGAGCTATGTCTGAACTCCGATGGAAGCTCATCGTGATGTTCAAAGGGGCTGGAAGAATATGAACGATGTGCTGCTGATCTTTCGTCCTTGCGAGATCCGGATGTTGCTGCATTGGCCGGGTGCGGCTGGCTTCCCGAGGCCGAAGACGTCCACGATCGTCGGGATACAAAGACATGTGCACCGCGTTGCGGCTCAAGTCTCTGATTGTCGCCGTATGCTTCGCCGAACCTGTTGCACTCCACGCTGTCCCGCCGCACAGTCGGCCCTGAAGCACGCGACATGTTATTTCAGCTGTGGTGAGCGGCCAAAAGGGTCTTTGCTCCTCGAGGCTCTGAGAAGCAATCGGGCCTTCGCACGACGAGCTCGACGAGCATTGTGCCAGGACTCCCCCATAGCCGTGGTGGAAAAGCGTTGCGGCATCACCCAGAAAAATGTAAACGCTGTACGGTGTGTCCGAACCGTTTCAGTATGCAGAAACGCTCTGGCAATTTGAACAGTGCAAGACAGTCTCGGACAGAAGGACTTTCTCCTCCTCCGTATCCTCCTGCTCGCACTCCATTCACTGCTGCTGCTGCTACTGTTCCCGCTTGTCCTCCTCTCTCATCCTCCTCTTCCTCCTGCCCATGTTCGACTCCTCCGCCACCTCCTCTTCCTTATTGCGCAGCTCCCATGTTCTGATTGCGCATAAAACGACGGTGTACACTCGAGGGTTCAAGGTCTGTTCTGTCACCCGTTGGCGGGCAGAGCAAACAACAGCGTCATCGGAAGGGATGGGCGGGAAGAATAGGATGTCAGATATCGCGAAGGCGCATCTAGCTTGCCTCCCGTCATTGCCTCCCCTCCCTCCCCATCCTCCTCTTCCACATCCTCCTCCCCCTCCACTCCGCTATTCCCCAAACGTCTCCTGAGGTGCGTTCTGACCAGAATGTCGAAGCGAATCCAGCCGTGGTGACGTGGGCCTCCCAGGAAGCCCGAAAAGGAGGCAAGATCGAGTGAAATGTAGCCGTATGCGTACCAATTCCTTCTATGACCTCTACTCCTCTTCCCCTTCTCCCCACGCCCATGCTCGCTCGCCCTGAAGCCTTTGAGGCAAGAGCCAGAGGCGGGCGGGGCAAGACAGTGTGGCCACGGCTCGAGATCCCCGGTCGCGAGGCCGCTCCAGTTTCGCGACGCAGGAGCAAGCAAGAGGGGGGGGGGAGAGGAAGGCGTGGCGATGGGCGGCGGAGGACTGGAGGAATGAGGACAAGAGGACAGGAGGGGAGGCGGAGAAACTTGAGGACCAAGGAGGAGTGCTGCATAGAGCTCCGAGCACAACTCAATATGCTCCACAATGTGAGAAGAGTTAAGGTTCTGGCGAGTGCTGAGGAGGAGAGAAACAGCATGACCAGCAGCACCAGCAGCAAGAGGAACACGAGCGAGGGAGACGAGGAGGACGAGGAGGATTCGTTCCCGAGGCCCGCAGCGTGAGGAGGAGGAGGAGGAGGAGGAGGAGGAGGAGGAGAAAGGCTGAGGAGGAGGAGGAGGAGGAGGAGGAGGGCCGATGAGGAGTCGCTCCGGGCTCTCCCTGGGGCCACGTTGGCCCGCCCTGGGCCCGAAAGAGCGCCCCAGTGGAACCCAGCGGCGGACCCCGAGACGGCTCAGAAAAGGGCCCCGAGGTGGCCCCTCGCAGCCCCCCTCGCTCGGCGGACGAAGAGCGGCCACAACTCGAGCGCCCCAAAGAGCGCCCCAATGGAACGAGGAGGCGGACCCCAAGACGGCCCAGAAAAGGGCCCCGAGGTGGCCGCCCCGCACCCCCCTCGCCCGGCGGACGAAGAGCGGAACAGAAGTCCAGCGGCACGCGTGCCCTGGCTCTGGCACCGAGGGGGGGCGAGGGCCAGGGGAGGCGGGACGGGGCATGACGAGGTGGGGGGGCCTCTCGGGGCTATCACTAGGGGGAAAACAAACCTACCTCGCTTTTGACCACCCTCGCTTCCAAGAGATACCAAACGACGCCAAATTGCAGCCTGTGCTGGTCAGGCCGCTTGACGAGGAGGCGCGTGGTATGGCTTGGTTTTGCCTGGAAGCGAAAGCGGGGTAGGTAGTTCACGCTCTGAATCACGGCATACTCCCGGGGCCATCATGACCAGCCTGAGGCGACAGGGGGTGGCCCGGGAGGCGACGAGCGAACGAGCGACGGCGACAAGAAAGGGCTCGGAGCTCTAGAACACGGCGCAGTACAGTAGGATGAACTTTCCCGCCGCCCTGGGGCAAGCTTCCCCAGTAGCGGAAACCCTGAGATCTGGGCGTTGAGATGTTTCACACCGAGCATTTTCGGCGGGTTTTTAGCACTGGGACTGTCACATATCGATCTGGCTCGAAAAATACCGCAAAACAATTAGGTGCTCAGGTCATGTCGCGACGTTGCCATCCGTTCGCAGCAAGGGAACGTTCAGTATCCGTTCTTCGTCCCCTCACTCACCATCGTCATCGTCGCCGCCGCCGTGGCCGACGCGGCCGCCGCCGTTGCTGCCTCGGGCGCGCGTCACCTGGAGCGCAAGCGCCGCTGACGCTGCCGCCGATCGCCACCGCCGACGGCCGCCGCCGCCACCTGAGACCCGAAACTGCGGCAAAAAGGCCAAACACGGGAAATCTCACGGCTCGGGGATGGACAGACCCCCCTGTGGTAAAACGTGGTTTAGTGAAAACGACCTGAGGCCCAAACCTGGCGGGCGGAGGCCTGGAAAATAACGGCCGCGGCGCCCTCTCGAGAACCGAAAACGGACAAGTCACTGATCGACGTGTCACTGTTGGGGGTTCTGTCCAGCCCCGAACGGCCATATCCCTTCAGGCCACATCCATACGCCTGTGTCTCAGGGTCCGCCTTTCGCCGCCCAACGTCTGAAGGGCGTTGGTTCGATGCTTGAAGTCCGCGTCCTCGCGGACGTCCCAACCGCTTCCCTGGGGGTACTTCTTCGTCCAGGATCAATTTCTCATGGCATACGAAGCGGGTAAGTGGCCACATCCGAACCCTACCCCCACCAACCACTGATCCTCCAGGATCGGAGGGTGGGGCCTGGATCTCGCTACGTGCTCGCCGAATCCCAGACCCTACCCCCGCCGCCTATCGAGTGTCCTGAATCGTTGATCGGCGAGGGTAAGGCTCGGATTTCGCCGTCGAGCGAACATGTCTCGGGCGACGTCGTCGGCGTCCACTCGCCGACGGCCCGCCCGCGGCGCCAGCCGCTAGACCCAGAGCTGCATGGACCCGGTATAGTTCGGTCCAAAACTCGGGCCTCTGGCGGCCGTTCGGGACGATCTGGGCGCCCCCGGAGAGCGCTCGACGAGGCGCAGCTGCTGGAGAGCCTCCGAAAGCAAGCGAGACCGATCGAAACCGTAATTACGCACATCGCCCAGACATCCAGCGCTCCATGTTCTCTCGTTTTGGATGCGTGGGCCCCAGGGAAGTCTGGACAACTTCCCTAGGGATGGTTTGTCATCCTGAGTCGTTTCTGTTGATAGGCCCGAGGCCAGAAGCGTACCGACCGAACAAGTAACCCCTAAGGGTCTTCAGAACCGCCCCTCCACAGTGGCAACAAATCATTGCCTTGACGCATTGATTGAAAGAAAGGGGTCCCACCCAAAGCGGAAAATTATTATTCATCCGCGACACCCGCCGCGAATCACGACGACGCCCGCCAGGAGCTTCCCGATCGTTGACGTCGTCAGCGTCGTCGTCGTCGTCGTCGTCGTCGACGCCGTCGCCGCCGTCGTCCAGACATCTGGCGCACATCGCCGACTTTGGACGCCCGACATGGGTACCGAAAAGATGGGTACGATGCCCAACAACAAATGCTGTCCCAGACCAACAGCGGCCGCTGTTGGGCAGGCGGCCTCCTGTCTCAAATGGACACAGGCCGCGGCGGCGCGGACAGCGAGTCCTGTTCAAAATGAACAAGAACTGCTGTTGGGCATTGTACCCATTCTCGGGTCGGGCGAAAGGGGGGGATAGCAAAGGGGGGGGGTGATAATCAGCTCGCGCAGCTGATTTTCCCGGCGCCTCCCGGCGCCGGAGGCGGCCATGTATCGAGGAATGGGCCCCTCGGTGGGCCGAAACCAGCTGCATGCGGCAAATTTCGTAACCCCCCCTTTCCCAATCCCCCCCTTTCGCCCGGCCCGACTGCAGCGAGCGAGCCGACCGTGACCAACTGCAGCGCTCGGGCCTCGGCGTGCCCCACGGGCGGGCGGCGACAGACGGCAGCGGGTACTCCTCCTCCTCCTCCTCCTCTCTCCTCCTCCTCCTCCTCCTCCTCCTCCCCCTCCTCCTCCTCCTCCCCCTCCCCCCCCTCCCCCAATCCCCCCCTTTCGCCCGACCCGAGTCCAGACCGACGGGCAGGCCCGCGGCGCCAGACGCCGGGCCCCGGGCTGCTTCTGCTCGGCGCCGGGGGCCGGCCGCCGCGCGGGGCTGCCCGGGCTCGCCGCGCGCGGGCTCGCCCCGCGCGGGCTGGCCGCGGGCGGTCCGGGCGCGGCCTGTCGGAGGAGGAGGAGGGCGACGACGACGACGACGACAGCAACGACTTGACGACGACGATGGCGACGACAACGGCGCGTGCCGAGGTAGGGATGCTGCCGCCCACCGATGGCGACGAGGGCGTCGTCCTGGGGCAAGATGCTGCCGTCCACGCCGTCACTCCTTCCTCTTCCTCCTCCTCCCCCTCCTCCTCCTCCTTCTCCTGCTCCTCCTCCCCTTCCTGTTGCTCCCTGCTCTTAGGGGACTTGGCGCTGCTGAATTGGGACGCGATAAGCGACGGGCGGCCTTTCGGAGGGGTCCGTCCCTTCCCCGAGAGAGCTGCGTGTTTTCTTGTTGCGCGCTCTTGGATGTCGGACTCGCCTTCCCCAAAGACCCAACTCTCCCATGTTGTTTGGCAGTCGGATCTGACTTCCAAGAACACGCCGTCACCCCCTCCTGCTTGGACGGCTTCCCCCGGGGCCGCAGGCGACCCAAGGAGGGGAGGGCGAGGATGGGGATGAGGAGAAGGAGAAGATGGAGGAGAAGGAGGAGGAGGAGGAGAAGATGGAGGAGAAGGAGGAGGAGGAGGAAGAGGAGAAGGATGAGGAAGAGGAGGAGGAGGAGGATGAGGAGATGGAGGAGGAGAAGGGAGGAGGAGGAGGAGGACGGGTCGCCTAAGCTCTTCGGAGAAACCCCCCACTCCTGCTCCGAGGGGATGGGGCGTTTGTTGGTGGGGGCGTAGGCCGGGGGGCGGAGAGAAACGTGCAGCTGTCGTGCTCCATTTGGGCCCTGGGGGTCCCCTTGAGGCCCACTTTCTCCGCCCCCCCCCCTCCCTAAATTGTCGACCCCCATTATGACGAACGAGCAACACGCACCCATACCCGCAGG